CCCCTACAATTCAAACCTGTGCTGTTCGGGGGTTAATTGTATAGTATTGCTGAACTTTTCCTCCTATTTTCAAGGCAAGCTGTTGCAAGTGGAGGCTGTGTCTCTTTACCTGTATAATCACCACGTGCTAAGTTGCTCCAGTCCTGTCCAACTCTTTGGGATCCTATGGACTATAGCCTGCCAGGCTTTTCTGACCATGGGATTCTCTAGGTAAGAATACTGGAGTGGGTTGCCATGCCCTCCTCCAGGGTATCCTCCTGACCAGTGTCTCTTACATCTCCTGCATTGGCAGGCAGGCTCTTGACTACGAACTGCCACTTGGGAAGCCCTCAGGGCCCAGTAATAACACTTCATACAAAGTAAATGCTAAATAGATCTTCATATTGATATACAATCAAAACTTCAAATTTATTCATGTCTCCTCCATTTACTCTACTTTTAGGAAAATGAATCAATTACTGGAGAACAAACATAAAATTTACTCCAACTTCCTTTCCTTTCTCACCATTTCTTGCAACATCCAAGTAAGTTTTTAATATGATACACTGTGACCATCTGCTTAAACACATTCCCTACTTCCGACAGTGATATTCACAAAGACACTCTCACTGGAAGATTTCTTTGGGAATGTTTCTGCTATGAATCATCAACTCAAAGGAAGGTTGAAAAGTAAAATAATGCATTATAGTAAGATTTCTGTAACAGTATATTAAATAAAATGTGCCATAAAACTAACTAGATTCAGGCAGGCTCTGGAAAACAACATCCCTATAAAAAAAAGATAGAATGATGTTGTTTTTCCTAAAGGACTTTATAGACATACTTCTTTACATTAGTCCAAATAACTAAGTCATTCAGAAATTTGAATCCTTGGTGCCATTCACAAACTCAGATTGAGACAGTCTCCAAGTGTATTGAAGAGGAAGGGAAACATAAGATATATGCTTAGGGGAAAATGATAAGCTTTTACCTTTATGACTAGTGTCTGTAGAAATCCATATAATGAATAGGAAAAAGAACTGGAAGGTTTTTTCTAAAAATTGTGTGTCTGTTGAAATGGAAATTTATTATTATTCCAGCAAATACACATTCATGTGTGTAACAGATATTTATTGAGTCTCGAGTAACAATTTGGTAATACAAAGGAAGCATGGCATCTGATCTCACTGGTCTTAGAGTTAATTGGAGGAATGAATACTTAGAAAATGCACACAACTGAATTACAGTTGGGATGAAGAAGGATGTCTGACATGCTTTGACTTTCTGAAGGAATCTGAAGTTGGTCACTGAGGCTACCATATTATTTAAGTGAAAGGAGCTCAGGTTGAAAGGCTGAAATGCTCCCCCACAAAGTAGTTGTGTAAATCAAACAGCCTTACATCTCTGCCTTAAATGCCTTAATGGGTTCCTCATGCATTTCAAAAACTTCCAAAGTCCTCCCCATGACCTGGGTGGCCTCAAGGACTCTGGCTTCTGTTTGCCTTCCTATGACAGACTCTTCCTTTCCCTTCTGTCCTTCCATTATGCTGCTGTCCTTCTGCCATTTTTGAGAACCCTTTAGACTCATCTGCAGTTTATTTTTACTATGCGTAGAGTTCTTTTTTCTCCCCCAGCCACCTTTTAACAATCGATCACAGCCTTTTACTTATTTTCTTCCTATAATCCGTGCCCGTCTATTGTCTATTTGTATATATTATAGAAGATGTCTATTCATCTTGTAGAATGTAAACTCCAGGATTGTAAGAAACATATTTGTCTTCATCACTGTTCTCCAGCATCTGCACATGCCTAGCCCATAGAAGATCAGCATACAATAAATAATTGATAAAAAAATGAATAAATCAATATTTGAATAAAAGAAAGGACATTTGAGGAGCAGGGGTATTTAAATTATCAAAAAGAATGTAGATTTTTTTCCATAGGTATAATGGAAATTCAAAATTGGTTTTAAAGAGGTGACAAATTATATTGTATATACACAATTTATTGAATTCTCTAGGCATGCATATTGGAGTGGGGAGCTAGGGCGTCTTCCTAACCCGGGAATAGAACCTGGGTCTCCTACGTTTCAGGCAGAATATTTACCATCTGAGTCACCAGGAAAGCCTGATATATATTTATCAATACATAATTTATCAATATATATAGATAGATAGGAAAATTCTGAAGACTCTGTGAGAGATGCTCAAAGTAGGACAAGAATGGAATCAGGGGACACATAGGGAGACTACTGCAGTGCCCTAGGTCAGAAGGAGAAAAAGTCACAGGGGAGAGTGTTTGCAGTGAAAAGGGAGAGAAATGGATCGTGTTGACACAGTGATCACCTAGGTTGAAGTGTGGAGGCCAAGAAAGTGGGGCCAAGATGGTTCTAATACTGATTGGGCATATGTGTAGGCGCCGGTGTATTCAACTAAATTCAAAATGTTTTAGTGGGTGGATGAGATTATCAGTAGTAAATAAAAAGATAAAATTTTGAATATTAAGTATTGAAATGTCTGTCTTTGAGACCCTTATTGGAGAAGTTTGGCTCTGAAGGGTGATAGAAAAATAAGGAAGTAGTTGACAAGAGATGTGGAATCAGCAGAGGTGATGTTGATAAATAGCCCTTTCTAAATTCCCTTGATGATAAAAGTTACCTGGAGTTTTTTTTTTTTATCAAATGTCCAAATTCCACTCTCCTTTCCTGCAGATTCTGAATTAGTAGCTTGGGTTAGACCTGGATATTTGAATATTTAATAAGTTCCCTCTGGTGATTCTTTTACTAGGGTAATTTGAGAAACAATGTAGTAGAACATACTTTTATGGCAATAATCTTGCAGAAATAAAGAGCCTGCTTATGCAGGAGAGAGGGAAAGAGACTGGATACACAGGGGATGGAGAGGAGAGAGAGAAAGGCATTTGCCTCTGACATTGGAAGCATACTTCCTCTCTCTCTTCTAATTACAGGAAAGGAGGACTCTCCTCTCTTGTAATTATGGGAAAGAAGAACACCAGTATGTTTTTGTTTTGCTGCTGGAATTTCCCATCTGATGGCTTGTATTTTCTCAATAAAGCATGTGGCAAGGGCATTACTGGAAAATTGAAAGGGACGAGGAATATGTGTAATCAGCTATGAAAAAGAATAAAACAATCATTGTCAAAAGTGGGAAAGAAAATTTTCTAGAGAAAAATAAGATCTCTTGACATTGTTGCATGGCAACATAAGGTTGTCATTAATAAATTTATAAAGGCATAATCTGCCCAGCTGTGCATTTTAATGTCAATAAGAAAACATAAGCACAATTTCTAAAGTTTTTATAGTGAATTAAGAAAATACGTTCCCTAAAATTACCTATTTTGTGACAAAATAAATGGAATATATTAAAGCATTACATAATATTACATAATATAGTATTACATAATAAAGTATTACATAATATATGCTGTTACTTTAATAAGAATGGAATAGTGAATTTAACAAAATTTGAATATGATAATATACAATGACATAATATGATCTGATATTAAGATTAATTTCCCATATAGAATTGGGTTTAAATATCTAGATAATACTACATGAGCTAGTTTTTGTATTGGTAGTGACCCTATGGAAGTGGCTTGAATGCTGTTTCATGATATGGAAATAGTTGAAAAGATATGCTTTTTTGCTATTGAATAAAGTTTAAAAGAAATGGCTTCAGCATATAAAATGAGGACCGTATGGCTCAGGGAAAGGCAGGTTTGTTATCCGATTGGTTGTTAAACTGTCAGGTGGGTTTCTAAATGAGTCTGCACAGTCTCATTCTGAAATTTAGGACAGAGATTCATTGCAGGATAAGTTATCAGTAGTTTTACCTACTGGATATATATTAATAAATTCAATGTTATTGATTTCCTAAAAGTTATTTTTAACAAATAATCTATGACTCTTGTATACTTACATTAAGATTTTGATGCAAATTCTCTTTATTCATTTTATTCAAATGTAATGTAAAAGCTAGATCATATATGCTCGGTATAATTGTTTCCATTAAGGTAAAAAATTACATACTCTAAGTGCATTAGCAAGTACTCTACCATGTTGAAAGTCACAACTCTTAATACCTGTCAGTGAAAACAACAGATGTGCACAAAAATAAGAAAATTCTTTCCTATAAGGTATTATATTAAATCTTTTATACACGAGTCACAGTGAATCATCATTATGCAGTATCTATACATGTCAATTAATATTGTGGACTTTTGTGCACAGTAGGTATAGTTTTTTTTTTTTACTAAAACTCTGTAATTTAAGAACACATTATCAAAATGTAGAACTGTTTTTCACTTATGTGTGCAATGAGCATATAATTGACATTTCTCAAAACCATTAGGACAACTCGGTGATTCTCAGCTGGGAGGATTATGCATCAAGTCTAATGGGCATCGTGCCCTCAGGGTTGCCTCATGGCGGCAACGTGTTGACATTGGTGTTGCTGTCCAGAAACACTGACATTATTATACTCTTAGTTTTACCCTTCACAGTGTCTAACAAAGTAATTGGCACATAATATGGGTTAAACAAAGATTTGTTTAATCAAGGGAAAATTGCATTCTGCTAGCCAGTGCAATGACTTGGTGGCACTATTATTATTTTTGTAATTTTATTTTCAATAAGGATTCAATCAAGACTTTGCTAGAATTCCCCAACACTCTAGATTTCCTTTTTTTTTGTTTAAGTAACAGAGAATGGAAATAATCTATGTGCTCAGGGTTTCTATTGTCCAAATACTGAAGCCTGAATGTATACGTGCTTCTAGGTAAGATGCAAGTTAAAAAATATCAGAACTTTATCAGTGTCATTAAGTAGAATGAGATTTCCTCCTGAAAGTTTAAAAAGGAAAGAAAAATGTCTTTCTGGTCTTGAGGAATATAAGTTTCAAAGTATGCAGTTGGGGGAGTGGAAGAGAAAAATGAACACCTTGGAGATAAAAATACATTCATCTCAGAGAGTGTGCAGGATGTAAAATCAAATGTGTCACCTTGCTGCTGCACTTGTGATGATCTTCAGACTGCCTGGGTTCCGGATAAGCTTGTCCAGAATGCTGACAATCTGCTCAAACTTGGGTCTGTTGTTTCTGTCTTTCTGCCAGCAGTCTAGCATCAGCTGATACAACGCAGCTGGGCAGTCCATGGGAGGTGGCAGTCGATAGCCTTCATCCACCGCTTTAATTACCTATGTGAGAAGCAAAGTTTCCGGGGACTTAAAGAGGTGGAATTTCTTTTATTATAACACTTCTTTTTGGGCAGGTCACACTTATATGTATATTTCAAAGTAAAGTGAAAAGGGTTTCATTTTAAATTTCTTAAAAAGATAACAGCTTATTAAATAAATATTATTCATGTCTGAAAATGTTATATAAATAAGTTCGAGACAGAGAAAGTGGATTTAAGAAAGAAAAGTTTGTATAGTAATTTTCTGGATTAAAATTAAAAGAAATGTTCTATGATACAGGAAATTCAGTAAACTATAAAGAAACTCTTATGTGGTAATACATATTTCTGTGAAAATTATATATAAATGGATGAATGCAGAAAAAAAATACCACAGATTTTTAGCTATATCACAATTAAAATGGTACCTCTCAAATTGTAGTCAGTTCCTTTGTTAAAAGCCCATGGGTTGAACAATTAAGTGACTCTTAGCAAATCAGCATTTTTAAATCATGTAAAGTCATGATTTTCAAACATTACTCTGTATCAGAATCATCTGGAGAACTTATTAATACACAGATAGTTAATCTCTGATTCAATAACTCTGGGGAAAGTCCTGAGAATTTGCATTCCTACAAATTCCCAGATATTGCTAAAGCTGCTGGTCCAGAGAGCACATTTTGAGATCCTCTGATACAGAAAGAATTTGGAAAATAGAGATGTGGAAAAGTGAGTCCGATTTTCCCAGTGTCATTATAAAACGTGGCTTGTTTGAAGAGGTCCAGAAAGATTTTTATATCCAAATACACTAAAAGCAATTTTATATGTAGTGAGTAGGAAATGACTAAAAGTGTCTCAGCTTTCCTTCTTATGTGTCTTTGAGATCATGCTCACAGTTTCTGGCTAAGCATAAAGAAAACTCTCTGTGTGCTGAATCCATATGCCAATAGCATCCTTGCACTAAGCATGAGCAAAGCCTGACTTATAAAAACAAAAATCCTTTTGAAAAATCATATCACAGTTATAATAGAAAGTTAATGATTATTTTCTCTATATCGAGACTTCAATTTATATAACTAACTTCATGTGCAAGTTTAATACATTATAAGAAAAAGCATGTTATAGATTGGTTGTTTGGTCTGACTTTGGGAAATACTATATTTAAGTAAACAAAATGTTGGCACAGATGCATTAGTTGAATCTACAAAGGATGGCAGAGTGTATCTTACTAATGTTATACTGAAACAATTTTGTAGCAAAAATAATTCAAACATTTCTTGATATCTATTGGCCATTTTGTCAGGCACTTATTTCATTACATTTTATTACAAATGTTTTCTTTTTGTCTCACTTCTAAACCCCTGCTTTAGGGAAAAATGTGAAGCTGTCAGAGCAACTCAATTAATATCTTTATAAGATTTGGAAACAATTTCGTCTCTTCGAAGTATTCTGTTTCAATGTCACAAACTGGGAGCCACCTGGTTTCATTATGCTCCACTTCCTTGCACAGCTTGATCTCTTAATCTGAACCCATAACTCATAGACTACAAATACTTACATCCTGATTGGACATCTCCCAGTATGGTCTCTCTCCGTAGGACATCACCTCCCAGAGAACAATCCCGTAACTCCACACATCGCTGGCTGATGTGAATTTGCGGTAGGCTATGGCTTCTGGTGATGTCCACCGGATTGGGATCTTCCCTCCCTTGGAATGTAAAATTGTATATACATACACGATCAATGACTAAAACATACTATATACATTATCATCTAAAATTTGACTTAATTTGTCAGGGTATTTCTTTTATGAAATGGACTGTGGGTTTCTTCTGATATATCTCGATGTTCATCTATTCTAATACCAATGAGTGAGTGGCAAAGGGAAAAACATTTGAAAATTGCTAAAATGCTGACATTTTATATCAGTTATGGCACATTTATCAGTCATCTGTAACAACAACTTAAAATAGATAGGATATATCATATATTAGAATTAATTGAGGTGGATGTGTGTGCTTAGTCGCTCAATTATGTCCGACTCTTTGCGACCCCATGGATGGTAGCCCGTCTGGCTCTTCTGTCCATGGGGGGTCTCCAGGCAAGAATATTGGAGTGGGTTGCCATGCCCTCCTCCAGAGGATCTTCCCAACCCAGGGATCAAATCCAGGTCTATTAATTGATGTATCTCAAATCAACTTTTATTGATTTCAAAGATTTATGCATGAACAAACAAACTTAGTGCTAATGTAGACTTGTAAAGAATTTATACCACTTCTTGACATACAATTTCTTGTAGGTATTTGTTAACTAAATGCATTGCAAATGAAATTATACATCTAAAAACACTTTAATATATTCATCAATCATCTTAATTAATTTACTCAGTTCCTCACTCTACCATTAGCTACTGAAGTACCCTCCATGTACAAAGTAGACACCATATGAGCTTGAAAGATATAATAACTACCATCTGAGAATTTACAGTCTAGAGCAGGTATTGCTTCTATGAGTTATGGGAGATATAAATGTATAACTCCCATGGAATTTGCTCTCAGTTTAATAAATACATTTAATAAAGACGTGCTGAGTAGTAACCACATGGAAGTATTATGGTAGTCACTCTGGGTGAGACAAACATAAATAACACACTGGCCCTTCTGTTTGGGAAATATCAAGCAAATAGTAATGATAATTAGTTGTTGTGAATAACTAAATGCAGGGAGAAATAAGTAGTGCTTCACATCTGAAACTTTACAATAGAATCATCTTGGGCTCATGCTGATTAAAACAGAAATTCTGATTCAGTAGTTCCAGAGTGTAGGCAGGGTCTGCAGGTGATTCGGGAGCATTTTAGAGATCAGATCCTGCCTGCATTGGGAAAGAAGGCGGTAGTGTAACTGCCGTGATGCAGAACATGGAGCCAAGTTTCTCATTTGAGAAACTGAGGCGGTCACATATGAATTGAGCCTTGTAAATTGTACCAAATTTTATATAAGCAGGAAAAAGGGATAGATTTTCCAAAGAATTCATATCATCAAAATGTTATACTATATTCATCAAAGTGTGTTCTATTGCCGTTTACCCCATAGGACTTCACTGCCTCTTAAGCAATGCTCGAGGGTGACAATATATTGCTTTAGAGAAACGAATTAATCACTTGGGAGGTAAGTTATTAAATCTCATTATGCTTGAATTTCCTCACCTGTTATTTTGGAAATGAACAGTTCATAGCATCGTTGTGAGGCTAAATGACAAATTTCAGTAAAATCTCTAGCATAGCTCCTGGCATACAGTAAAGCCTCAAGAAACATTAGCTTAATACTGCCACACTTTTAGAGAAATGGCATAAATCAAAGCACAGAGGAGGAAAATATATGTTCTGGAAAAACAGTTTCCAGTGTGGTAATACTACAGAAAATGTGGAGACATGTAATGGGAGAGGATGGCGAAAGGTCGAATTGGCTTTAATCACAGCAACATTGAGCAAGTGTTATCCTTGAGAGGAGAGTGGCATGTGCGATTGGAACTATCTCAGTAAACTGCTTGACACGTTTCTTCGATATTTTCACACAAGAGAGCTGTTCAGAAAGAGTACTGTCAGGAGGTCTTTGAAGGCGGTCAGGCTTACACGGGGTCTTGAAGGATGCATGCGACTGCAGAGAAGTGAGCACAAAAAGAACTGGGCACAGCCTTCTTGAGATGATTCCAGCCTGAGGGTTGTCCATGATTTCTACCAGTGCAGCAAAATCAAGTTGGAGAGATGGGGGCTGGACTAGGGGAGCTTTGGGAGTTAGTGAGAAGCCCTATAGAGCTCAGCGTGCATTGGAGTAAAGATGATCCAGAACCAGAAAGCAAGATAGAAAACACTATGGAGAAGTCCCCCACTGTTCACCTAACACTATCACAAAATTGTTTGCTAATTGGCTACACTCCAATACAAAATAAAAAGTTTTAAAAAAGAGGGCTTCTTTCCTTAGAAGTTGCTCCTTTATTTTCCATCTCACTTACACTCACTTATTCATTCTAATTTTTAGAGTTTGTATTCTTTTCAACAAAAATGCAAAAGATCCTTTTTATATTTAAATTTGGAGGGTTCCCCCCCCCCGCCCCGTCTAATATTGCCCTTTATCTGCCAATACATTCAGTGCTAATAATAATAATGATAATATTTTAAAAAAGAAATTAACTTACTTGCACCTGCCGAGACCAGGTTTGGTTTTTAAGGATTCAAGATTTCAAATACTATCCCATCATTTTGATAAAAACAGAACTACACATGTGCCATGTAACTGAATCTATTCAGGATGCCAAATGGAATTAAAGCGCATACATTCTTTCTCTTTTAAAGAACTCTGAGAATTAGAAGTCAAACAAATTGTATTCATGGGGCAAAGAAAAGATAATATTTAAAAATCTCAGCTGAATGTCTTATCTTTGCTACAGACACTTTACCATTTCCTTTCCTTTGCCCAAAACAATTTATCAGTAGCACAAAAATTGCACTAAAGAAAGAAAGCTTTCCACGTTGAAAACTTTGTATCTATTAAGAAAATATAAGGCACAGATATGTGTCACCTTATCAAGATCTCTTGAAATAAAAATACAGACATAAAGAAAAAATATCCAAACCAATAGATTGATGACAACCATAGACAATGTGTTTTAGACTGATTGGTTTTGTGCCCTGAAAATGAAGTGATAATCATACATTCAAGATTCTCATCCTGCCCCTAGGTAGCCATCACTGGGTAAAGAAGAGAATGAAGATGATTAAGGATTATTGATTTGCATTCAGGGATTTTTTTGTCATTGGCAATAGATTTATAATATACATAAAGCAACAAGTAAAGTGTCTAATCATTAATAGAGTACTCAATAAGTGTTTTGCCCTTTCTTCCATTCCAGTTCCCTTCAAATAGCACACTTTTACAATTTGTGTAAAGAATTTGATAAATGAATATATAAAGGAAAGCTTATTGCCAACTATTAATACAAAGTATTCAACTTTATCATTTGTTTTTATTGTTGCTAAAAATTCAACAGAGTCAGAAGAGTTTTATAATTTTTTTACTTTTTCCATGATCAGTAAGCAACTTGGCACTCTGTCTTCAAATGAGAGACAAATAAGCCAACATATTCATAGTATACACTTAATTAGAAATCAAACTACAGGAGCAATTCTGAGCTCATAATATTGTAGAGTTTGAGGAAGGATGAGTGTCCTGTTATTACAAACACTTTAAACTGAACATTGTAGTTTCAAATACTTTATATTCCAGATTAGTAAAATAAATGTGAATAGTAGCTTTTAGCCTATGAAAGTGTGTTTGTCACTCAGTCATGTCCAATTCTTTGTGACCCCCTGTACAACAGCCTGCCAGGCTCCTCTGTCCGTGGATTCTCTAAGCAAGAATCCTGGAGTGGGTAGCCATTCCCTTCTCCAGGGAATCTTTCTGACCCAGGCATAGAACCCAGGTCTCCCTCATTGGAGGCAGATTCTTTACCATCTGAGGCACCAGGTGAGCCCTCTTGTCCCATATATTGCCATAAATAAATTGTGACCAAACTATCATTTGAAATCATAAGCCTATGAAAAGTTGAACAGGTTATAAAGCTAAAGATAATAAGCATAAGGTACATGAGTCTGTGCTCACTGCTGAGAGCAACTATTTTAGATATTATCTTGCAAATGTGCAAAACAGGCACTCAATACATGCTCATTACTTGCACCGAATTCCCTTCTTCTTAAATACATGCTATTGTTTTTTCTTGGGAATCTTTTGCTCTGCCTGTTTTTTTAGAATTCGAAGACTTCTTGTTTGAACATCCTATTCAAATGTGAACTTACTGGTGGAACATTTTAGAACCTTCTAGGCTAAGATGGTGACTTCATTTTCTGTGATCCTTCTACTACTTAATTACTCTGACTAGATCAGGATGTCCAGAGGAGTCACTGCCTTTCCCCCTTCCTCTCTGCATCCCCACAGCTTAAAACAAGAGTCTGACTTTTTAGATTAGGATTAACTATTTTATGAATTTAGAATAGCAGATTTTACTGGAGGTCTATGATAATTTTAAGAATTAAAAAAATAAGCAGTTCATTTTAAGAAAATAATACACTAAATTAAATTTTTTCAGAATATATGTAAGTATTAAGAGTGAGAAAATAAATATCATAATAATAGTTTAAAAAATCATACAATTTTTGGATATACTCTTCTTTCCCTCATTTACATTTTAATAATGCTGTTAGTCTCATGATGATAGTACATTTAAGAATTGCTGAGCATCAATTTTTCACAGTATCTATTAGATTATTAAACTATTGTTAGGGGAAACAGACTGAAATTGCTCACCCTGACCCAGGCACCACAGTAACCATTTGCCGGAGTTATTTTATGACAGAAGGTCCTGGTAAGAAACACAGAACTAACAAGCAACCACCAACTAAAAGAATTTGGGAAAGGTCAAAAGTTTCATGTGCCTTATCAACTTCAAAGAATCTTCCTCACTCAAATCCATCTTGGTTGAGAGTGCCACCAGGAAGGATCCTGAGGCAGAATAATTGGCCAGACACAACCCAGAAGCTAATCCCGTCACCATAAAACCTGAGTTTGCAAGCCACGTGGCAGAGCAGTCCTCACAGTTTCCCTCACCTTCCTGCTCCCCACCTGGGTGTCCCTTCCCAATAAAGTCTCTTGCTTT